AAAACTAGCTGCAAGAGAAAGATTAGACAGAGCCATATTCCCCCCTCCCCGCAAAATGTGCTCCCTCAGAGCTGTGAACATGGCACCACCATGACTGAAGACAGAAGAGAAGCACACCCTTTTTGACAGCACTCCTCAGTTATTGCCAGCATCGTTCCGATTCTCAGCCAGTATCAGAAAGCAAAAGGAGGAAAACTCTGGTGGGGAAAAAAGGAATTCCTGGGTTTGCCTCAGTGCACGAGGACTTCTCTTTCTTCCTCTGACAAACAAAGCCAGCCTGGCTACCTTGGCTACAACACGCTAGCAGACAGGATACAGACACGAGCAGATGTTGCCTCTCCATCTCCTGGCAATCTTTGGTCTTAATGTATTATTGTTGCTTTTCTTTGGAATGTATTTTTGTCCTGGAGCCTATCAAAGAAGGGGAAAGATGCCAAGTGTGTTGTATTCTGGCACAGTGACACGCTCCCCTCCCATCAATAATTCAGTTATGCGGATCTCCCAGTTATACCAAATTGCATTATTTGTCTCCCATGTACCTTATGTCAGAGCAACCCTATGTTAATAACTGTCCTGTTTATCTGACGATCTTTTTTTAATGCCTGCCAGACAGTTGGGATGAATGAGGCTATTTGGATAATGAGGCTGAGTCACCAGACCCCCCCCACCCACACGCCACTCCCAAAATATTGGATACTGCTCCAAGTCATTTGTTTCCTTTGGAAGCCCTGCAAGAATCTGCATGAAAAATAAAAACAAAACTATAAATGCATACACATGGAAAAGTTTTGTAACTAAACCAAAAGATGATGAATGGGGGAAAAACTGAGGAACCCTCTTGCTCAGTCTGAAATCTAAGGGTGTGAACAATGCAGAGGAAAAGAATAGAATACTGTTACAGTATAGAACAGTGATAGTGGTGGGAGGCATTTTGACCAATTTGATTTTCTATGTAGGGACAGTCAGTATGCAACATCCGCAGTAAACAACAGTAATGTCTACATCATCATAATTCCTACTCTGTGTCATCAGCAACACATAACCTTTGAGAAAAGGGGGAAAAAGTGATATTCAGAGTGGTTCATACAGGGAAGCTACACTATTAAGCACATGTATAAAAAGTCAACCCAACCCAGATAAAGCAATCTGATCCAGCAGAAAAGTCTTCTCAAAGACTGCAAGCTGAAATCCATTCCACCCTGAAACATCAGGTTCAAATGTGCAGAGTCCCTTTGTAAAATCCCCAGAACATTCTGCCTATCTCTGTTTATGTAAGTTTAAATAAATTAGCAGGCCATGTTCTCAAGACAACATGCTTTCATGGCAAGCTGACATACTCCCACATGGCAATCTCACAAGACTCTGTGTCTACCATACCAAATTCCATTTGCTCTTCTCACAAAAGTTTGTGCCTTCAGGGGAGTTGCAACATCCTGTATCCCTCTTAAACAAAAAGCAATTTGCAAGTGTTTGCACTGCGCATAAGGAATAACACCACTGTGTCCCACTTTAAGGTATAAAGTCTGAGGTTAGATCTACATTTTCTGGATGAAATTCCAGAAAGATGCCAAATTGTATGTGCGTTCATGCATGCAAGTGTGTAGTGGAATATCTGTAAGGTACAGTAGATGGAATTCCAAGCAAAGAAAACATCTGACCGTCCTCAAAATAAAACTCTTTGCTGTACAATTTCATAGTAGAAAGTCTGATTTTCAACAGACACTGCTAATTGACACGGAAAACCAAACAGGCCATCTGGTCAATACCAATAATCACTAATTCGATAGAAAGGGAAATGATTTTTCACAACATCCAAAAATTAAACCATGGAAATACTGGACAAAGCACGGTACAACATGCCTGGACATCTAATGAACTATGTATCCTAGTTTAAATTTCTAACTATTAGAAACAAACGACTGGATTTACCTTATAACTACTTGTGTTAAATATCCAATACTCATCAAGTTACTTTTAAAAGTAAATATTTAGTTACTGTTCCAAAGCCCAGACATATTATTTGGTTAGCATTATAATTTCTAAACTTATAATTTATAAAAAGTTAAAATTAAAAAGTAACACTTTCATTTTCCATAGGTAACTAAAATGGAAACTTCCAGTTTTTAAAATTTCTGAATATGGCAGAGCACAAATCAGTGTTTGATTCATGTGGTATTCCTTTTCTACCATTTAATGAAGCTGTACACCTGTAAATATGTATGTATGTATATAAAAACTTACAGCCACTATTGCTTCTCTGCCTTTTGGTTAAGATCAAGTGTATCATCACCACACCTTGTTAATTGAAGTTTTTTTTCATATTACAGTATAATCATAATGTAACTTAAGATATATTTTTGTTACTGAAAAAGGGAATTTATTCCCTATTTCTAATGGATTACTTCCATGTTTGACTTAATACCAGCACTGGAACAGATAAGATACCAAGACAAACAGATCCCACAGTCTGACCCATAATACATTTGCTTTACCAAAGTAAATTTGATTGTATTAAACCGACAGCTTCCAACGAACATCTTAAATAAGCAATGAGTCGAGCATTTTATAGCTTTGGTAAAGCAGTGCTAGCTCTATCCAAGCACCAGCTTGATCTATAAGATGATCCATCTGTTTAGCTCCATCCAGTACTGTAGAAACAGTGAAGATCCACCAGCTGGCTTAGCAGAGTGACACAAGGACAATAGTTAGTAGGAATAATATAGCTAGACTGAAGTTCAGTTTCACAGACCGTATATGGAGAAAGTGTTTCATTTCCTAACTCTAATAGGTGCTAATCTGTTCTTTGTGCTGGAGATGTTCATGTCTCTCTGAGGAGCCATCCAGCCCCTTTTCACAAAATCACTGCATTTTGATCTATATCCCATGGCCACGCCTGATGGCTGCTTCCATCTTGATGTTAGTTTGCACTAGCTTGATTACTTAACTGGAGACATACTGTAAGAGAGGCAACTTTTACTTTCCCCAGGCAAAGCAAAGACTGAATCTGGCATAGGCTACATACAGACAAGAGTCCCCTGCTACAGACTGGATTGTGTTCTACGTACCTTACACTCACCCTAGTTTCCCTGCTCAAAGGACACACATATAATCTCAAAATCAGCTTTCCCCAAGCTTCTGCAAAGTGGTAAGTGAGAATCTTAGGAATGCTGCTTAGGGATTTCAAAAATGTTTTTAAAAGTTTTTTTTTAATTATGGTTTTTACTATTGTTGTGTATTTGACTTGTTTTTAATGTTGTACATTATGGTGTTTTAACTGTAATTGAATGATGTTTAGCCACCTTGAGTTCCCTATGGGGAGAAAGGGAGCATATAGACTGATAAGTAAAGAGAGAGAGAGAGCGAGAGAGAGAGAGAGCACATGCTATGTAGGCAGATAGCCCAGACTCAATCAATATCCAGATTTAATTTTTTACATGCCCATTAAGTCCTTTCTGGCATATGGCAACTTGTTCCAGAGTTTTCTAGGTATACAAAAGTGGTTTACCAGTCCTTTCTTCTGGTGGTGCACTGAGATTGTGTAGCTTACCCAAAGATACATAGGGTGGCTCTTCTCCTGGTACTCAAATCAGGGCTGGGAAAAGATACCCTTTTCCCGACAAATATCCTGAGGAGTCACAGCTGGTCAGTGAGTGTAGACCATACTGAGTTAGATGGACCAATGATCTGACCTGGTAGTAAGCAAATTTGTCCTAGGTTCCAAGATAGTACCTATGCCTAAAATGCAGGTGGTGGAATCCTGCAGCTGGCTCAAGCTGCACTTACGTACAACTGAACCAGAAATAACAGATTAAAATTAACACATTAACACCGGATGTAATATTGTCTCCATGAAACAGAATACACTGCACTTATTTATCTAATACAAAATTCATCTGATTAACTTTCTAAATGGCAAGGTCTTAACTGGACACACCCATAGCTCTTCACACTGCATTCCATGTCAAAAATTATCGGGGAGAACACACTGCGAATCTGATATGTATATCACTTATAAAAATAGCTCTAAAAGAATGAATAGTGGCCTGGCCCACTCAACGGTGAGGAACAGTATCATTTAAACAGCAGCTAGAGACAGGGTAAAAGCTCTGCTTTCTTGAATACTAAGCATACCATCTGCTAGAATGGCATCAATCAAGTACTACTGTGCTGTTACAAAGCGAATGCAAACACTCTGGGTACAATCAACCTAAGAAGAACACTTTTAAGTCCCATACATTTCTATAGGAATTCCACATGAACCGCATGCATTTCAGTGAAAGACTGATGCATTTCTGTTGGAAAGAATGGGATATACAGCCTGATCCTGTACAAGTCTACTCAGAAAATAATCTTCATGCATCTGATAGGTCTACTCCTGTATAACCAGACCTAAGACGGCAGTCTTTAAGCGCTTACTTTGGGGTGGAGTGTGCTTATTGCCTACAGAAAAGCCAAAAAGAACCAACCAACTTGCAAATGCCACAAAATGAATACGCCTGGTATTGCCACCAGAAAAGCATCCATCTTTCATCTTTACCTTCAGTGTGAATTCCAACTCATGCCCACAAATCATTGAGACAGACCTGTTGGCTGGATCCCGCCCCCCCCCCCAAATCATTACAGATTCATGCAGAATGGAATAAGAAACTAAACAAGTCACTAAAGACAGAAGAGTGTTTGTAACAGCAGATGGAGATAGAGTCCTGGTTGAATCATGAATAATACCAAATCCTTTCAGGAGTAAAAACAACTTTCCAAATTTCTCTAGAAAACAAAATTCTTTTAAAAATCACACAACTGCAGTTGGACCCACAGGCAAGCTGTCACTTTATGAAGAAAACTCTTAGTAAGTAACAATAGGAGGGGGCAGGGTGTGTTTAACAACAGAATGATTTAACCAAGTCACTGTAATCTGACAGGGGATTTCAACAAGTCTAGTATATGAGTGCATGTCTTTTGTAGAGGAGCAGAGAGAAGATTATAAACGTAAGCATTCCTACCTCCATCCCCAGATCCAGAGCCTGCATCTGTAAAAGAGGAAGAGGGAGGGAAATCAATACGTATCCATCAGTATAGTCTGTATAGTACATGCATGTATAGTACATCCTGCTTAGTTAAATGGATTTTCACAAACTCTGCTTTTGATGTTCATTCCTGTATAAATTATAGAGATCTATCTTTAATATTTCATGCAAACTCCCTTTCTGTTGCTGAAATGTACCTTTTAAGACACATCAAGATGCGGAGGGTGCTGCTACTCTAATTTTCTATTTTACAGCACTCGGAGTGGCAGCATGGTCTCACCTCACAACAACATTCAAAATACAATATTTGCTGGGCTGCCCTCTTCTTTTTACCCCAGTCATGAGGTAAGCTTTATAAGGCAGACACGGCGCATTCTTGAGACTTCCACCCCCATGTTCCACTGCAGCAGTGAAGACAGCCAGGTTCTAAATCTCTAGACCGTTTCATCAACGGAACTCTCGTGATACATTTTAATCCACCATTTGTTTACGCATCCAAAATCAGACCACCAAGGAGATTCACAGAGATTAAAAATACGTACACGAAGGCACTCCAGTCCATACAATCCCATATTCCAAATGCACTGCAAAGCTGTCTAAATGTACCATCTGATGCAAATGCTGGTGTAATACAGTGGAGCGTGTCCCCAGATTAGGGCTCAGGTGACCTGGGTTCAAATCCCTGCTCTGCTATGGAAACGTAGGGCTTGATCTACACTAGCTGTTTCGGGGAGGGCTGAAACAGGTTAAATAGGGTTGCTTGGACAGTACAGATGGGCTGCACACCCTTATAAACAATTTTTTTAAAACAAATCTTTGTTCTGGAAGCAGGAGGGGGTAACAAGGGGCATTTCCCCCACTTTTCTCAGCCAGACCTCAACTCCAAGGTCTGGTTGAGAACTTTATTCCAGCAACAGATATCTGTTACGGGAATTGCTGCCAGTCCTCCTTGGTTTTTTTTTTTGTTTGCGCTACTTTTTACTGTCTATAGCAATTATATAATTCATATTTTTGTTGTACAGCACCCCGAGTACTGATTGGATAGATGGGTGATCTATAAATAAATAAATAAATAAATAAATAAATAAATAAATAAATAAATAAATAAATAAATAAATAAATAAATAAAAATATTCAGAAACAAGGTGAAGATAGGTGTCACGGCCAGTAGCTACCCATAGCTCTGTATATAAAAATTCTCCAGCATGTATAGGATCTCCATTTTTCTGGATCTAGTAGATCCTGCACTGAGCAGGATTCATGGCCACATCATTTCTGTGACCATGATGAAATCAGGCTTTACTAATGCCACGCCCCATCTACTGAGGCTACAACACAGGCATGGACAATGTGTAGCCTGAAGGCCACATAGGCAAGCCACCCGAGCCCTAAATACAGCCATTATACTACCTGGGGCTTCCAAACTCTATTGTTTTTGCTCAGAGATGCACCTTACACCCTTTAAGGTGTGAAGCGCTAATTCTTGTGCAGGGGGGTGGGGTGGAATCAAGTATTCTCATGCTCTCCTCCAGCACAAAACATGTTGTCATTAAAATCTGATGGCCACTAGAGGGCATGAAACATTTTTGGCCAAAATACTTCTGAGCTGGATTAGTGTAGTCTTGTTCCTAGATACATCTTGTCAAGGGTCACCGCTTAGAAAGTGTTTTTAAAGCAGACCTCTAGCCCTTGTGTGAACCACTCAAAGGCCATTTTGCCACCTCTTTTGGGGAGGGGGGGACCAGGGTGGTGACTGGACATCTGCTGGCCACAATACATTGCTAGCAAACTATGTTCAACTTGGTGAGTTTTTTGGTGGGTCTGCAAGTTTTGTCCCTGAAATTTCAGAAAATGTGATGCTTCTGATCTGAAAGCCCTGCTGGCATATCACCCCTTCCTCTGAAGAATTACAAGCAAGGTTCACAAGTTATAATGCTAGGGCTCTCTCCCTGCAGTGCTCCAAAATGTTACAATGAGACCAAATGCATGCATCCACCAGCTTTCTCCCCAGTTCCTTTCCCTTCCTTACAGGTTTTTTCTGTGCCTACCTTATGCATGAGCAACATACATATAAAGAGCTTGACATGGAACCGTTTAGTCCAGGTACCAATGGAGAATGGATGGAGAAGGGTGCTCAGGACTTAAAGCTATCTCACTCCTTACAATCTAATTCCATCTTCCACCAGTCCTGCTTGTAATTTGCCTCCTCATCTGGAGACCCAGAAAAGCATATTGACTCCCTTATATTTTGGCTGATGTCCTGAGTCTAGGCAATGTTAATATACCAATGATGGATGAGACCAGAGTTAAAAGGAGCAAGAGCTACCCGGCCCCCCAGCCATCTAACTGCTTTACCTTCTCTTTCTCTCACTTAAAACCAGAGTGCCTGGGGAAAAATGATCCTAAACAATTTGAAAGAGAAGGAATTGAAGATGCACAAAGGAAGACAGAAGTAAGAAAGCAAAAATGTAACTTCTCAACAGACCAACAAGCACAGGACAACTAACTACCGTATTTTTCACACCATAAGACGCACTTCCCCCCCAAAAAAAAACATTGGGGAAAAAGTGTATGCGTCTTATGGAGCGAAATTCCCAGATTATTTTTCCCTGTTTTCTTCGCCTAAAAATTTGGTGCGTCTTATGGAGAGGTGCGTCTTATGGAGCGAAAAATACGGTACCTTGCCCCCATGGTTTATGTCTCTGCCAAGCTTGTATTGGGCTTGTCAGCCACCTGTGTGACCATCAACATGCTACTGCTCAAGCTTAACCATTCACTTCTTCCCTTATATTCCTTAAAAGTTTCCATCTTGGAAAACTAAGGACAAACTCTTAAATTCTGCCCAGCAGGATATCAGGTAGGGCCTGTGACAAATGCAGACACGGTCATACATTTGCCAAAGGTATAAACGGCAAGCAGGGGCCACTCACGACAATCTTTGGGTAGCTTCACCATTGCAGCCTCCTTGTTCACCTATGCCTTGCTCTGGGGCTGACAACAGAGGTGAGGAGACAGAGCAACACAAGAGATCACTGCCTTCTCGTCCACTGTCTTTCTGCCTGCCAAGCTAGCAAATAATAGAAAAGAGGAGGAAGTCCGGAAGAAGACAAGGAGCAACAGCGGCAGCAGGGGATGATGGCAGGGAGAAAGTAAAGTCACTGAGAGATGAAAGGTGCCTTGCCTGAAGCATCTTAGGCTAACACTGCTACTGGCAAGGGCCAGATCATTTCTGCCAGAAGTCTGAACTAGAGCACCAGAACTTTTACTTTTTTTGGACTACACTTCCCAGAATTCCCTAGCCCTTGTGGCTTCAGTGGCTGAGGAATTCTGGGAGTTGTAGTCCAAGAAAGTAAGATGCCCAACCTTTGAACTAAACTGCTCACTTACAGAGGGCTTTAGGAACTGATGGGCAAATTGGACTTCTCCTTTTTTCATGGCGTTTTATCTTTAAATTGGACTTGGACTGGATAGACCCTTTGGAAATGCTTTTCCAAAAAAAGATGGGTTGTTTCCTGGCAGCCTTTCAAACAGAGGACAGTCTTCTGTGGGGAAAGGACACATGGCCACCTAGTTTGGAACACAGACCTGGAACTTAAGAGGTGTTAATTTTGGCATCTCTTGCTAAGGAACTTTGAAAATGCAAGAAGAGAGGGACTGAATTACCAAGGAAAGATACAAAAATCCTCAAAGTTTTTCCTGTTAAAGGGATATTATTAAAACTCATAATACCAAAAATTCTGGGCAAAGAACAGTTTAATATTGTATGCACAAATGACTAGTTAGCACAGGCACTTTGTTAAGAAGCCCTGCAGCTAAACTTGAAAATAAATTTTAATGGTGCGTAAAAGGAAATCTCATCTGAAAAAGTGTTTTTTAAACTTAAAAACAAAACAAAAACAAAAAACCCTGCACTCACACAAATACGCATGCACACACTTTAAGGAAAGTAAAGGAAATAAGACAAGCTTCATGGATAAAAGCTTTGTTTCTGCAGAGGTTCAGTTCACAAATGTTCTCTGCAGTGTCACAAGTGGTTAAAGACAGCAAAAGGAGATCTTGCAAAATACAACACTGGCATTCTGTTTGGGATTCTGACTTTCAGTGTTCAATTTATCCACAGTCAGATCCAGTTAATCCAACTCAGTTTGCAAACTTCCATCATCATTCTGATTTTCTTTTTAAATCTTCATCTAAAACGTTCATGCCACTGTTCTCTCCAACTGGAAGTTGTGGTTTGCGCTTTCAGCAACCTAGTGACTCAGTCAGCAAACTAAGATTTTAAAACAATTGTGTTTACTTTTAGATGACTAAATGGGACGTCCTTTTTTTTTTTAAAAAAAGCTATTTTCTAGAAGATTCACATAGGCATCTCCCAAAGGAAGAAAAGATGACTAGTATTTGCATAACAGGTGTGTGTATGTATATGTAGGCATGCAAGTTAAGAAATAATTACTTTATGCAGAAATACAATATGGCTCACCATAATGTGAAAGATTGTGACCAGTTTACCAGTCAGTCTACAGCCCAGGGGCTGATAAGCATGGATGGTCAACTTCAAAGCTTCTACTTTCCCTTGTTATAGCTTATTTTAAAACTGAATGGGCTTATTTTAAAACTGAATGGGCAGAGAATGCCTTCAAATAGAAGACTCTTCTCCAACACCATTCCGAATACAGTAGAATACTCTCCCCTGAAGAGTGGGATACATTACTACTCTAATACCATCACGAACTACAGAAAGACTTGTCTGGCAACTCTGTGCTGCTATTATTACAAATGAGATTATCTTCCTTCATGCAGATATATCTATGTTTTCCCCTTGTAAGGGAAATGAACACTAAGGTTACTATTTTTCACCCCTCCCTCCTTCCCAATCTCTCTCCAGACACCATGCACACTGGCACGCCACAAAATGGTAAGAGCTCAAGTCATCTAACAGGACATGTAAGTGCAACCTAAGGCACAGATGCATGCTGTCCTTAACAGGGCTAGGGAAGAAGACACTTATAGAACCCAACCACATGCTGAACTGTTTCAGGCATGTTATTTAGCGTACTACATACATTGATACACTGACTTGCAACATCTGCTCTTTGTCCTACAGTCCCCCATAAGACTACTGTATAACTTATGTCAGGACTATAACTCAGTATTAGTGGCCATGCCAACTGTGGGACACTAGGAGCTGTAGTTTAAAAAAAAAAAACAAAAAAACAGCTTGTGTACTAGAAGAACAGGCAGTCTGTTCTATTGTCTCCCTTAGTCCACTTTAAATCACAACCAATTATTTTTATTTATTCGGCTGTGTATGTGCGCGTGTGCATGTGAATACTCCCAAATTAATTATCCTTCTTCCTTATCCATCTGGCTAGATACAAGAGTAAGAACTGCATACTCTATTAGGGGCACTCACCCGCACAGCTAGATATGCAGGATTCTGCCGCTTTTAATTATGAATAAAAGACCAATAGTTAAGACCAAGATTTTAACATACCACAAGCATTCCCCAGATTATGAAAGATCCTGCTAAGCCGCCACCAGCAACAACATGCTCTGGCAATGGTCACTAAAGAAGCACCAAACTTTCCACTGTTGATTTGCAATGGATTTGGCAGCAACAGAATGCACACAGACACAGATACATAGAGGGAGGGAGGGAGGAAGACAGCATCTTGGATTTTGCTCTAGACAATATACAACATGAAGTCTGCTGTACCTACCAGTGGCACAGGATCCTTCTGACGCCACAAGTATTTCACTTTGCTGTTTGCAGGCAGCCTGTCTCAAGTAGCATTCATTTTGGTAGGTATCCCCATTGGAGCCGCACACAGGCACGTAGTCGCTGTTACACTAATGAGCAAAAGAAAGCAAGAAACCAAAGCACTGTTACTAAACCCAGGAAAGGATCTATGTGAAGCATATATATATATATATATAAAAAGCAGTGCCCTTACAGAGTTCATACTGTAAATATTTGCACAAGAATGAAATTAAACTGTGAATTAGCTTCACTCAAGCATGTGTGTGTGTGTGTGTGTTTGCACCCATACAAGCGCCCACACATACACCCACACTGAGACATCAAAAATGGCTGCCACCAACAGAGTGACCATATTTCAAAAGGGCAGCTGTGTCTACCACTCTCAAGAAAAGGAAGCTACTCTGTGTCATCGTTTCTCCCATGGTGTCGCTGCTTGTAGTCCACTACTTCAGAATTCCTAAAAGACACTGAAGAACTGTTTGTCTTCAGTACAGAAAGCTTTAATGCACTTGTATGTCTTACTTTATGCTTGTTACACAACTGGAGTCTGGGGATCAAACTACTGTACATGAGAGAGTCAGCTCTATATTTAGAAGCAAAGCTTCCTTTATTAGTAAAATAAAAGTGTGTGTCTTTACATACACTTTCTCACCTCTATATTTGGCAAATCAGAATGCTTTGTTTTAGGATTGGTCATCAGGAGGTAAATACAAGCTTCATTTACAAGTCGGATTGCTCAATCACAAAGCTTTGAGGGGAACTACTGCTTGATAGCAGGGCACTTGTAAGCACATGGAACAAGTACATACCAAACTCTGGCAATATTATTTAAATGCACAGGGAAAGGTTAGCTAAATTCAAGATGCTTCTTGTATCATGATGTTTTGCAGTAACTTTGATTATATAGCTGATAAGACTCAGTAACAGATTGTTGCTAGTGAAAGGTTAAACATTGGTTAAGCAGGCATATCCAAAAAGAAATGCACGCAATCTCCATCCAAAAATATATTCTTCTTTTTGTTTCTCTAATAACAGAGTCCTGTGGTAGACTGAAGTCTAATTATTTTATTATGGAATGAGCTTTCATGGAATACAGACCTCTATCTACCACATTTCCCTCTGAACTCTGCTGAAGATAATCTTTGGCACCACAAAGAAAAGTACAGGTGGGCAATTCCCAAAGGCAGGGGGACCATTTTAGGCCTCCTGAATCCACAGTGGCCACCTTCTGTTGTCAGCATGCTGCTGAATTTGCAGTTACACCAGCATATTACAGAAGTATGGCAACAGCAAAAGCCCTCGCCATTCCCTTCTAAAAAGAAAACAAGATACATGGGTAGTGTGCACAAGCCAATTGTCACTTCTGAGAGTACAGTTTGGCATGAAAAGGAGCTATGGACTCTCACACACCTTCTTTTGAAAAGTCACTGCAGAACTTTGCTCTTGCAGCAGGAACAGATGATGGAGACCATAGAGATGTGAAGTAGGGCTTATCTGGCCCATAAACTGTATGTTCTTTCTGCCACTCCCCTGGACTTAGAGGTACCATGCAGATGGACCACATCATAAAAGGCTGATGTGCTTCTTTGGGACAAGTACCACATCTAGGACATTCATTAGATTTTGGCCTGATTTTGCTGAGGAAACTCTTGCTTCTTCGGGACAAGTACCACATCTACTGTAGGACATTCATTAGATTTTGGCCTGATTTGGACATTAATTTCTGCCTTATGAATGCCAAGGAAAGAAGGTAGCAAATGGAGTAATAGTCCCATTGCCATCCCCTTCCAATAGTCCTGATTTTCTTGGGATTTTCCTAGGATGTCTTGATAGGGCATTGCTCCTTGCACCATGGGATTTCTACATTCCCAACTTCTTATTTATTTTTTATGTGTCCAGTCTTGGAGAAGTCAGAACTTTAATTTTCCAATTCAACTGTTCTACAAGAAAACAACTTGCTACCACCATTTGGTGTGGTTCATCAAAATGTGAAGCCATGGACAGTCCGACAAGTCCCAAAATTTCTAAGGTAAAATGTTCTATTCCATCCCAACTCCTGGGTAAATGCTGCAGTTTTGAGAAAGTTTAACCTGACTACAGACAGCTTAGGTCTTTATCATACAACTGTCTGAAAACAGTACATAGAAACCAAGAGAGCCATAAGAATCGATGGAGGGATGGAAAAAACAAAATACTCTCTCGTACACAAAGATTAAAAGCTGCTAGCTATAATAAATTTGCTAGGTTTTAAGGTGCCATGGACTCTGAAAACTTGACACAGAAATACTATTCATCCGGGGGAGGAGGAATGCATCTCCATGGTATCTTCAAAAGGCTTTTCGGAGATAGGAGGGGGGGGCACTCCAAGAAAAAGAGGAATAAGAGCGAGAAGAACAGAACAGAACTTTTCTGAGGGAAATGCTGATTGTGAGACTCCTGGGAAAAAGTTTCAAATAAAGAGATGGAAATGTCTTTCTGGAAGGATTTACTTCATATTTAGTCGATTTGGGATTACAGCACGGTTTCTGAACTACTTTCTCAGACCCACAACTTACTAAGGTAAACAAAGGCTAATAAAGCTAAGCAAAGTTTGGATGAAGTCAGTTTTGTTACTGAAAGTTTACATTCATGTAGCTGTATTTACATAGGAAGCAACGTAGCTCTGCACAATGAACCCAAACAGTAGGAGTTGTTGACGATGCAGAAATGATATGTGGGAGAAAGATGCGGAAGTAGAATATGTGAGACTGGTGTTAAAAGGGGGGAAACAGGTCTGCCATACTGAAATGAGCAGTTGCTTTCAGATATACTGTATACTTTTTCCCCTTACACAGAGGTTTATCTTCAAGAATCTTCAGAGGCAGCAGTTGAGATAGCCTGTTCCAGCAGAACAAAAAAAGCCATATAAACCACCTTGGAAATGAATGAATGTTTTTTGCCTTGAGCTTCCAAGGGCTGCATCTTCAAGCTGGTGGTCTGAGTTTTAAAGATTTAGGGAGTTTTAAGGTGCCATCTCCCCTTCACGGATTGCTGCCTTGTCATGGCAGAGAGGCTTGAGTAATTCAGAGAAGCTGTGGGCTATGCCGTGCGGGGACACCCAAGATGGATAGATCATAGTGAAGAGTTCTGACAAAACGCGATCCACCTGGAACAGGAACTGGCAAGCCACTCCAGTATCTTTGCCAAGAAAACTCCATGGACGGAAACAAAAGGCTAAAAGATATGACGCTGGAAGATGAGCCCCTCAGGTCGGAAGGCATCCAACATGCTGGAAGTGAAAGGAAAGTCCAATGCTGCAAAGAAAAATACTGCATAGGAACCTGGAATGTAAAATCTATGAACCTTGGGAAGCTGGGTGTGGTCAAACATGAGATGGCAAGAATAAAAACTGACATCCTGGTTTCAGTGAACTAAAATGGACGGGAATGGGTGAATTCAATTCACACAATTATCATATCTACTGTTGTGGGCAAGAACCCCAAAGAAGAAATGGAGTAGCCCTCAACAAAAGAGTGGGAAAAGCTGTAATGGGATACAATCTCAAAAATAATACAATGATTTCAATATGAAAGGCAGAACTTTCAACATCACAATAATCCAAGTTTATGCACCAACCACTGATGCGGAAGAGGCTGAAATTGACCAATTCTATGAAGACTTACAGCACCTTCTAGAACTGACAGGAAATAAAGATGTTCTTCTCATTCTAGGGGACTCAAATGCTAAAACAGGGAGTCAAGAGATAAAAGGAACAACAGGTAAGTTTGGCCTTGGAGTTCCAAATGAAGCAGGGCAAAGGCTAATAGCGTTTTGTCAAGAGAACAAGCTGGTCATCACAAACACTCTTTTCCAACAACACAACAGGCGACTCCACAAGATGGACACGATAAAGGACAAAATAGTAGGGACCTCACAGAAGCAGAAGACATCAAGAAGAGGTTGAAGTCAAGTGGGCCTTAGAAAGTATGGCTAACAACAAGACCAGTGGAGGTAATGGTATTCCAGTGGAACTATTTAAAATCTTA